CAGCAATAGTAGTGGATACGACAGCTTAACAAACGAAATCTGCACAGAAAGTGATCCCGAGTTACTCGTTTCACCTACCAAGGCCGTTTCCTCGTATTTTGCTCAGGCCTCTAGTCAATCATCTGTGAAACCTTTCAGTCGCACTGTCGGCTACAGCGGTGCGTCGTCCACAGCCTCGGATGTTCACACAAGCGTTCAGTCCGAGGATAGTGCTGACGCTTTTTGTGATATATTAAAGGTATGTTTGGTACGAGGTAAATGCCTCAGCTTCATACCGCATTCTTTCAGTTCTCGAATTTAAACATTTCCTTTTAAATTGCGTTTCATAACTTTTCTTCGGTTATATTCGAATATTTTAGTTCAAGTTCCAAATGTTCTTGTTAATGTTAACAGGTGAAATCCACACAGACATACTTACCCTGTTTATAAATATTTCTTAAATGCCTGAATTTTTAGTAACTCTAGAAATGGGTTAGTTAACTCCGACTGTTTTGTCATCTTTAAAATCCGAAACGGTCTGTTGTACCCTTGTAGTTGCGGATAGCCTAGTAAAACATAACCTATAACATATATGGACCAGTGATGGATGTTTTTATTACTGAGGGTTTGACGGACTCAGTCGTAGCTGCGAAATAAAGTAAGCAGACTCGTTCTCTACTGAATACAATAGTTCATCTCTGAATCTGTGCGTAACAAGCACAGCCCCTGTCGGGGTGAAATTCGGCCAGGCGTTTTTGGACGCATCTCCTGAGATCTGGGAACTACTCAGAAGAGTGTTCTTACAGAATTTTTCACCCATACAGGCCCATGCTTTGCTTTATCAGCATTATGTCCAATGTTAATCTGCTTAAATCATTTGAATAAATACTCAGTGTTGTAACCGCTCTAGTATTTGGAGGTAATTAGGAATGACCAAGTAATTTACAGATTTGAGTTGACAGCACTTAGTGGGCAATTTGTTATTTGCGAGTTGGTGAATTGCTGTGTTTCGGCAACAGCGGGGACAATCTGTCATTCTTTGATGAACGTTCACCGACCGCTAACGGAATTCACTTGTCCCGCTCTGCCTTGCCTTGGATCATAACACCTAGTAGTATAGGCAGGACAGAGCAGGATATGTGAGTTCCGTTAGCGGTCGGTGAACGTTCATCAAGGGGTGTCGATATTTCCCAACCTAAAGCTGCAGGGTAACAAGCTCGTGGTTCAATAGTTAGGGGCGTTAGACTCTGGTCCGAAGGTCGCGAGTTCGAGGCTCGGGTGGTGCGCCACTTGGGTCTGGGTATGGCTGGCTGACGATGGCTCTTAAGCCAGACATGGCCATTCCAGTCTCCATTGTCTTTGTTGGTAATACAGTCTGTGATTCTGTTGCACCGCGCTTGGTTCAGCAGTTGACTGCTTTAAGTTTATATCCACAATTTACGTAATTTTGGAATTTCTCAGCGATGGTATTGAGGAATATATCCAATTTCTGCTCAATAGAGGACAGTTAAACGGTTGAACGGAATAGTTAATCACTCACCGAATCGTATCATTTATAGGAGACCAGACTAGTGGTCAGGCGCCGTCTTTCCGGACCCGCCTTATTTCCTCACATACTTTTTCATACTGGCGCCCATAAACGCGACGCCCGTAATATATTCTTTGTGGTTTCATTGACTTGATTTTAAATCTTTTGAATGATACCCCTTAGTGTCTTTTTTTAATTTCCATGTCATACCTATAGGGTTTATGCCCTTTGTGTTACTATTAATTGTCCTCATGTCTATATTTCAGTCACCGATTAGAAATAGGCGCAAGCGTTACAGCGCCGTATCCTCCTCTTCCAGTTGCAGCGAAGACTTCCCCTTCTACGGGGAGTCTTCGTCATCGTACACCAACCAAATCCGCAGTGGTAGAATACCTATTTTTACCGGTCCACTCTCCGAGAAACTCTTTCCTCCGTCCCAACCTCCATTGTCACCCACAAAACCCTGCCAGCCTGTGCTCAAGTCGCTATCAAATCAAATGATCAACCACGGCCTGCCACCGAAAACGTACACTCCTGAGGCCCCTTACCCTCCTTCGAAGTTTGAAAGACTACGTGGAAGACAGCGAACCCTAACCGATATTTCCCGACTGGCTGAGTCAGAGGATTCCGACTCAAGTGATGCGCACGCCTCCGACTCGGAATGTTATCGTTTTCCCGATCCACCACTCCGTCCATCGCTGCCCAGGCAACGTCAACAGAGTCAGGAGCGTTTCGCTTATAGCTACGGCAGCGGCATCAGCAAATCGCTTAATTCTACACTGGATACCCGCGGCACCTTCCAAGGTTTCAAGCGTGATCCTTTTTCGGACGACTTTTCCGACTGCTCGGTGACGGCGTACCGCACTTCTCTTTCTAACGAACAACTATCTGAGACTGACCATTCCGAGCGTCACATCCGTGATGTGCATATTCTGGAGCGTCTTCGAGTACCATTCACCTACGACGAAGTCGCTTACAGCACTAATGAGAACTTTCGCGAAATGAAAGCGACTCCCGGCTTAAGTGTGGATCAGGTAGAATTACTACGCCCTTTTACCAAAAAAATGATTTTCAAACTTACAAGTAGGCTAGTCACGCTAGGTTGTCTACTTCACAAGCAGTCTTGCACACGGTAAATGAAATAGTTACTCTTTACGGTTCGTATTGGCTACGTTTAGGTCGATGCATACCTAACTATGCATAGGCGAGTCTGGTCCGGTTAAACCGAACTCTGCTACCCCTGCGGTAGGGGATTGCCGCCTCAAAAGCCTCGGTCAATCCCTGCCTCGACCCGAAACGGAGGTCATCTGCTGAAGTGTTTTTTGTACCTTCCGTTCGACTTGAAGTTATTTTTACGACTAGGTCATTAAAAACGGTCATGTGTAATTAGGTTCGACTTCGGGTGTTTGGGAATGAAACCTCACCTAGATAACGATCGCAAGGGCCTAGCCTGTAGTCACAAAGCATGGGCCGCACTGGTTGGTGCTGCCGTAGACTTTGTAGCCGACTAAACGAGTAGTGCTGGCTGTTATAACTGCAAGTAAGTACTCCGCCATAAGAAGACGCAGACTGTATAATTGAGTAACCCTCCGCTCTCTTATGCGCGGAGCTGGAGATGTGTGGGACCTCTGACAGAAGCGTTCGAAAGTAGCGGACATTGTACTCAACCGGCCCTGTCATTAATAATGTTAATCAATCCGTAACTTCCTCCATTTGAGTGAGAAGTTTTACCAATGCTTTACAACAGGTAAGGTGTGTTCCGACCATCCTTCTGCCGCTGCCTTCCTAGGTACTAAGAAAGAGAAAACGAATTTCAGAAAACCGCAGTATGTGCGATGTAGTCTTTCCTTTGTTGAGAAGAATGCTTTTAAGCAATTTTAAGAATGTCTGATTAACGAAAGGCCTTATTAAAAACTATATGAAACATCTTTCTATAAATGGCCCTTTATAGTCTGCCTTTCATAGACATTTGAAAACTGGCGGCGTAGCAACGAACCTACTGGCTTCGGATTGGGCGTCATTCGATTTTAGGTGGTGGAAGTGTAGCCACTGCAAATTAATTCATTGTAACTTTGTGAATGAAATGTACTCAGTTTGTGGTTACATGTCGAGTTATGAGACTCGAACTTTTGGGGCATCTAACTCTGGACAAGTCCGCTATTTTGTTTCAGCAATTCCTATACACCAGGGCTAGTTCTAAGTGCACTCAAATCTCTCCCTCACACACAGGATAGTCGATATGACAATTACTGACTAGTGACACACACAGCCAAGTGGTTCCTGCTTACTGGTTGAATAAGGCTGTGCGAAACGAGTGGGTCTGCCCGAACTTGACGCAGCCGTGCTTACAACCAGTCCAAATAACTCCCACGATGTCAATCTCCCGCCGCTATGCTTTACGACAGTTTCGAATACCATGTTTCGATAGTCCACGAACCATTTGAAACTTCTTACTCAATGTGTGGGGACAGGTGCCCCGTTGACCACTTCTGCAGCTCTCTCAGTAAGTTGGAGTGGAGTTGGAGTCGGAACGAAGTCGTCTTAACTGATCCAATTGTTAGCCGCCTTGATCAAAACTCATTTACTCTGACCAGAGTGGCAAATCGAACTAAGCATCAGGCCTGTGACTTGCATCAGGTCCTCAAGGTCACTGGCTATTCCAGTCAAATGATACGGGCTTCCTGCAAAGAAGCGCGCGGCCTCCTATTATTGTTAGTTGGAACTATGCATCGTGTACCAGCCGGGGTGAGAACCACAGCTGTGACATCCACACCACACTTCGCTTTTCGACACCAGGTTCTCTAACGTCCTTAGCATAATACTACAAACAACTCGAAGACGTCCAAGCTTACGCATTTTCAAGGGTTTCCGACTGTACTTCTTCCTTCTTTAAAGAATCATTAATGCACTCCTAAGTACCATGTGGCATTTTGTCAACCCGGTATCCGTTTTGCATTGTTAGCTTACAAGCCCGTATTACCTTTGCTCCTTCTAGATCACGGCCATGCTGGATGCTCGTCGGCGGGCAACTAACCGTCAGGCCGCGGAACGTTGTCGCCGCGGCAAATCAGCCGCTCGTGACAGTCTAGCCAATCAGCTAGGTCGTCTGCGACTCGAACGCGCACACCTCACCAAGCGTCTGGTGCGCACTCGAAAACGTCGTCAGTGTCTCAGGTAGGCTTGCATTTTTAAGTAGATGAACAGCTGCACAGCAGGACCTGCCCGAGTTTTAAGCACTCACCTACCTCAATTTTCAGCCATTTGTCTTAGACTGAGATGTGGATTTAAAGACTACATTCCGCCGCAACACTTCCATTTTGCCAGTTTGTAGAGCTATCAATTTTTGAAGCCGGCCTCTACTTCTCTCGCGTTCTAGAAGGTTTTGTTGGCGTTGAATATATTAAAATTGTAAAAACCCCAACGTTTGCCACCACGTATTCACGACAGCACACTCGACTGAAACATGTCATGAATGTTGGAAATCAACCCCATTTTATCTCCCAACAAACCCTGATGGTCACGCTTGACGTAGAGTTAAATAATGTAATGCCTTGCCAACAAAATTGAATATGCGAATTCCAGGAAGCATGTCTCAGACTTTTCTACGATTACCTATGCTTAGGAATTCCCGACGGAATCCGAAACGTCAGGACAATACAACTCTTGTTCCAGTGATCGCTTCTTCTTCTTCTTCTGAATGTAAGACCTCTTAATATCCCCCAAGTTGTACGGCGCACAACCTCGTGCAACTGTTTTTGCCCTCCTTTACTACCAGAGCCAGCGGTGATTATTCTATAATGTTGAAGTTTGTGACCTGCTTGCTCGTATAATTAGAGGTATAATTAGATTAGTTACTAGGACGCCACATTCAAGTGATGATCCCGGCACACTTCACATGGCTCCTTTGTTACCTGCCTAAGCTTACCAGGCTGGTTCTTTAGGGGGTATGCGACCGGCAAAATTGTCAAACAGTTGGTCATATCTCCCGAAAATAACGTATCCCCCCCGTCTAAACTGACCTTATGCGTGGATTCTGTGTGGGAGCGTCGAACATTTGACTAGCAACTAACATGTTCGTCGTATCTCCACGTTGTAATTTCTTATGTACTCTCTTCTCAGTGGCCTCTTAAACATCAATAATTTTTCTGCATTTATGTTTTTCACTGATATTTACACTGTCTAAATTAACTGAAAACTAACAATTTTTGTTTCTCGCGTTTCTGTTCCACACATTACCTAGTCACTATGGCTCGTAGTTTACGACTAGGGTATGAAAGCGGCTGAGAGTAACAGTCAGGCTAATGCGTCGGGTGTGAGTCGAAACTAAAAAACAAACCCAGTGTCTCCAAAACCTGTCCCGAACCTTCAAACGGAAATCTCGGCTTCTCTGGAAAATGCTCTAGGTTTGTAATCACTGAACTATCCAGTTTTGCCAGCTAAAAACGGAGCTCACTGCCAGAAGTTAGTTATGTATATCGGCATCCTATCCACCTTATTAGGCACACTACTGAACGCACAGGCGTTTTACTTGTTCCCGTCTACTCGGAACACCGAAACAGTGCGAGTTCTGGTCCACAACAATTTCTTATGGCCGTTCAATATCTGATCGGGCGTCCAACGTGTCTATATTTTATTGTCCATTCTACTCAACTGCGCCGAATACTAGGTTTTCTTTTTAAAGGGTTGTGTGTGATTTTTACGCTTGTGTCTTGGCACCAGGACTCCAACTGACTGATCTCGACTGTTGATGATATCGCCCTGCTAGCTTCAAGCTCTGTTGACCTACAGACTATGGCGTTGCGGGTGAATAAAATAGCCAAATCTGTTGGTTTATCCCTAAGCATTGCGAAGACTCCGATGTTTTCGTGCTGCTTCTCTGGCTATGAGAGGGTACTCCTCGGGATTACTGGCTGCCAAGTTGAAG